CAAATTGCTTCACAGCTAACTATTAAGTTATTTCTCAAACTTAATACAAAAATTCATGAACAACTATGGATACCTTATTGTTCAGAATTTGCAAACTGGAAACAATAAAACAATATTCATATACCACACTCAAATATTCAACCAAACTGAAGAAATAACCAACAACCCTACTATAACTCTCATGAACTACATAACTCCTATAGTCCTTCTCCCTAATATAATCAAACTTTACCAACTGAACTCGCCATACAAAAACTTTCAGCTTGGCTATTACATTAGATAAAATATGACTTTTCTACAAACTCTATTCTCTCCAACCAAATCTAGATGAGTCTTGACTATTCTAATAGATTTAGGTCACAGATAATTCTAAAATTAGCTTAGCTTTAGTACTACTTTAGTCTTAGTTATTTTATTATCATCTGAGCTTTAATTCTTGTATATAAATTATTATCAAGTAGTTTTGTATAAACTCTTAACTATATTTTACCTAATAAAGATAGAGACAAGACCTCATCTCAATCTACAGGTTGAAATTTCAAAAAAAAAAAACTCTATAATAACAAATTAATAAAATCTAATTAGCTAAAGAGATAGTCTTAATAGCAAAAAATAAAAAAAGAATATATAGAGTTAGTTTGAAATTATAATACATATACTAGTTGTAATAGATAATATAATTTTTAATAAACAAAAGTTAAGCTAAGTACTTATTTTTTTAAAAAAAAAAACTTTATATAATAAACTACTATAGTGATATAATATTTTATTTTAACACTAATAGGAGTTCTTTTTTCATATTTTATATTACTTATATTATATTAAAAAAGCTATATACTTGTAAAATTTTGATACATTCTAGTAGAAAGCTAAAATTTTCTAGTAGAAATGCAAAAAAAATTATAGATAGAAATATTTAAAAATAATATCTAAAAAATCTCTCTTTAATTTAAAGAAGTTTCTTTTTCTCTTCTTTACTAATTTCTAAAATCAAAAAAATCATTTTCTTTCTTTTTTTAATAATCTTGATCTATATTATATAAGCTCTAAGAGAGATCTATAATATTCTAGAAGTAATCTACATTACATAAAAAATTAAATACAATTTCTCAAACCTAGAAATATAAAGTTAATATAATATAACTTTTACAAAAAATATATACTTCTAACTATTTAAAAAATTAAAGTTTCTAGAAACTTTATTATTAATATAAGCAAAAAATGATAAAAAATACAAAGATGAACTATTAGAATTATAGTATATTCTATAACCTAAAATAAAATCTAAAAAGAAACTTCTCTAAGAATAATTTATAGTTACATATTATATATTGCTAATATTTTCACAAATATTGAATATAAAAAAATAAAATATATACTATTCTACTAAAAAGAACCTCTTTTACAACTTTTATTATAATATATTATAGTACAAAAATACTTTTTTGATCTGCAAATAACTTTATCAGTATTTTCAAAAATGATTTTCTTAAAGAAGACCCAAGAAAAAAAAAGAAATATTGTTATAATGATTTATAAAAATTATTATATCTTGCTCTTCTATAAACCAATTTTAATATTTTACTATATATTAAAATTACAAAGACTTGATTTACAACTTTACTTAAAATACTAAATCAAGATTATATAGTATGAATACTCTTCTAGAATAGCTTTTATAAAATTAATCTGCAAAATATCTTTTTTTTTACTGTATCACATAAGCAAAAATTTTTAGAAATTTTTCTTATCTCCTTTATAGTAGATGATCTCTACAAAACTTATTACTTTTAAGTTACTATATATCTATAGTTACTAAAGAAAGTAAGTTTTACAGACTAAAATGCAAATGCTAAATAAGATACTGAAATTATAGAGCTTAGAACCAAGATAGCAAAATTAGAATACATTATTGAGAAAAATGAACTTAAAATACTCTGTTCCGAAGAAAAATATAACAAAAATATTGCTAATGAACAGGATATACCTCCTATAGAAGAAGTCCAGTTCATATCATCTGAGAGAACCAAAACTATTACTGATACGGAAAATGTTTCAACTGAGAACAGCTTTGAAGATTCAGAACAGAATCCTAATGTTAATAGTTCTGGTAAGATAAACTTGCAGACTGATGATACCTCCACATTTAACATAACTGATGAAGCTTCAAATTCCGATAAACCCAATAATGCTTCAGTATTATATCTGACAATACTTCAAAATCTGATGTAAATTCAGGGTCTTCATCCCAATATCCCATATCACCTATTTCTACAGGGGGGAAATCATTGGAAGACAAGGAGGTCAATGCATTCCTAGATTCAAAGTATAAGGAAAAGGCTAGTAAGGATATAATTCAAAATATCAAGGAGAAGCTTCGGGATCAAGAAGCCTCTTCAGAAAAACTAGACTCTTCAAGAAAATTAGAGAAGTTGATGTCACCTCTATTATCATGTGACATGAATAGTGTTCACGATCAAGAAAAAACTTCACCAAAAGAATCCATACAAAATATATCTTGAAAATCTATCAGAAATTCAGCTGAAGCTAGTACATACGTGCCAGGTGAAGTTGTACAAGGTTTGTTACAAAGATTTTTAATAAACTCTATAGAAGGAGAAAATATTGAAATCATGAATAGTAAGCCTTCATATTCTGCACCTGCTGAGCTTGCTCATTTGTTATATCAGGCTAGTAAAGCAAGAAAAAAATCTATCAAAGCTAAGTAGAAAGAAATTTTATCTTGGGGTTATTATTTTGAAAAATACAAAGATAGATTTATAAAGCTTATATCTGAAAATAAAAATCTTAAGGATAAGACTACAAGAACCCAGATTTATAATGAAATGAAGCTATACTTCATAGGCATTTCTGATGAGTATTTACGTAAAATAACAAGTAAAGCAAGAAAAATTATTAAGCTATTCGGATGGGAATATGATACTATAACCCAGGAAAAAGTCAATGGAATAGGATAGCATATGATTAAACAAGTTACGTACAGTACCGATACTATTTCAAGACTTACTAATATTGAAATCCAATATATTATAGATCAAGTAACAAAGGCGCAAGTTGGTATGACAGTATCAAAAACCGTGAACACTGTTCACGATCAGGAGTCAAAATCAACAGAAAACGAGATAAGTGTATCAGATATTGAAACCTCACCTAATAATATGACTCAAATCTCTAGCCACGAAGTGACTGCCTCCAGCAATTCCTCTGATGTTGATAAAATAAGTGAAGTCTCACACAGTGAGGATGCTATTGCATCTAAATCTTTACAGGAGGTAAACAATGATCGAGGTTCCGACTATGAATACGATTTTGAAGATCCCTTCGATAACAGCGAAGATGACTCACGGAGTAAGGATGCTAATGCGTCTAAAGATGATGATGGGTTCTATGGATTTTCTGACGATGATGATGAAGGATATTATTATGATTTAAATACTGGTGAAACTACATAAAATCGGATCGTCGTTATTCAATTAGCGCATATTAATAGGATAAAACCTCATTTATAGAATAGCTGAGAAGCTAGCACATCCGTGTTAAAGATGATCTGCATCCGAAGTTTTTATATTAGCCTTGCTAGCTCCGCTATTGATTTTCAGCACATGTCTTGTGTAACCTAATTTTTACCACATAGACTAGAAATACGTTTTAATGTTAAATATTTTTTTGCTGATGATGAACTTCACTAAGAATAAACATTTCGAACATAATGTTCATAAAAATACCGACATATTTTTAAATTTCATAATCATTTGTGGGTCAATGCGTTAATCCCCTAAGCGATCTGTTCATTCTTAGTCTGTAAAATGATTTATATGATTATCTTCAATTACGCAATGCAACATCGAAACCAAAGAATAAATGCTATTAATAATCAAGGAAATGCTAATAATACCTGATTACGTCAACACTCCCTTGTCCAGATTGTTAATCTGACTAGCAAAGTGAGGCGTCATCATCTTCCGCTGATTCATCATCTTCTGCTCGTCCATCATCTTCCGCTGATTCATCGTCTTCTGCTCGTGCATTACCTTCCGCTTATTCATCAAATTCTTCAGATTCAAGTCAAAGATTCGCAAATATCATCTCTGTATTCTGGAACAGTTTTCAGATATCTTTGATAGGGTTAAGGGTGTGAATGATTATACTTTAGATCAGATGTGTAATATTGTATCGACTGATATTCTTAGGCTTGGGATGGGAGTAATTGGAAAAGATACAATAAAGGCGTTTTACCGTGGGAAAAATATAAAAAGATAGGTGGTTGGATAGATAACAGACATTTACACCTTTGAGTAGCGGGAAAGGAACTGCCAATATATGGGTTAGGGCTCAGCAGGCTTAACAAGCAGGCATGTTCTTTTGTGCCTTTCCTCCCTTGAAACAACCTGTTACTCTATTACATTTCTACCTTTCATTTTTACTTAGCCGGCCGGCCCTTACTTCGTGAAAAAAAATATAATGATTTTGTTTTGAATTTTTTAAATATGTGTGTGTGTTTTATGTGTATATACGTTAGAGAGTAACTTGATGCTGGGACTAACATTAAATGGCCTAAGATCACGTAGTAACTCCCTCGAGTTTTGTGTAACGATCAACTAATCAATCAAATCAATCTGCGGTTTCCTTTATAACCATTTTCTCCAAAATTTCCGATCGTTATCGACTACTATGAAGCTTGCGCAGGACTATCTGGGGAATACCCCACCAGAATTGTGGAGTCTCAACGGCTATGTCGAATGGTGTAACTCGTGTGATCTACTTAAGGGAGACAAAGCGAAAATCTTGGACCATATAAAAAAAGGGACTTGAGAAAGTCAAGAATAATGTACTCATTACAGAAGATACACGACAGAAGGCAACTAAACTGTACGAGGACTTTCAGGGATGTATTATATAAATAAATAGTACATGTAGGATAGGATTGTATACATTATTAGACGACTATTTGTTGTTTTTTATAGTTACAAATCTGAAGAGATAGCAAAGATGTTGGATTGAGCCAGGGACCATTTGTCAACTGGAAGATCGACTATTTGTCTATTCTTCTCTTTGGTCTCCTGTAGCACACTAGGGACTATTTGTTACCGGTGTTGAACTATTTGTTCGCTATGGCCTTTACGTTTTTTTTTAAAATTACGAGATTTAATTTTTGTTTATGTATTATTGGCTAAATTTAATCGTTTCTTTCATGTTTCACGATATCAGACATGGAAATCCTCACGAACAACATCGGAATATTTCCAACAGCTTGAGATTCATTATCGGACCAAACGGGAATTGGAAGTGATTGAAAGTCGAAAGACTATTGATCTCGCCGAAATCGACCGTATGAAGGTACTTTTTTTGTTCTTTTATACACGACTTTCTAGCTATGGTGCGCTATTTGTACTAAATAATTTTGATTGTATACGCTACAGGTTTCTCAATTACGGAACAATACAGAATCAGTAACAAAGATCCATCAGCATGTTTCTGACGGCTTTGTAGAATTTACTAAAGAAAATACAAGAATACAGAAACGCACGTTGGAAGTTAGTGAAAGTAGCTCTAGTAAAAAGCAAAAGCCTGTGAGTCTTTTTTTCATATGATTTTCGAAGTATACAATAATAATTTTTTTTCTATGACAGGAGGATGAAAACGCAGGTTACGAATCAGAAGAAAGTGATTTGGATGCAGATGATGAAATGAGGAGTCTCGCACAGGTATTTTGCTTTTTCTATCTTTATGTATATTATTTTATTCATTTATACTTAATCTCCTAGGACGAAGTAGAAATTCGTAATAAATTGTTCGGTATCTTGGCTGAATACCAAAATAAAGATAAAGAATCAGGAGAGAATTATATGACTTCAGTATGTCTTAATGGCATACTAGATCTCTCTGACGAGAAGGTGTATAAGACAGTTAAAAAGACTCTTGATATAAATCAACTCAACTGGCTTGAAAAAGTTATCATGAAGAAAAACTGGAAATCAACCCCCGAATTTGTACAATATATTGAGCAATTTACTGAGGATGCATGTACTCGAGCCGAGATTCCAACTATTGTGCGCAAGTCCTATGTCCCCGGGAGATTTGATCCTAGTTATTATGAAGCGCACGATATCGCCCAACAAATATTAACGCATTTGTAAGTATTTTTTTATATATTAACATTAACGTATCTTTCTTATTATTACTTATCTTCTACAAATAGTTCTGTTCGACTTGAAGCTCCAATGAGAATCGAATATAAAGGCCTCGATTTAGAAAGAACTTTTGCCATCGACACCATAGTGTACATCTTAAATCGACTATTTAGGATGCACCAAGACGAATTAGATGTTGCATGGTAAATATCAATTTTAAAATTCGGTTTTTAATTATTAAGCTTACTAATCTTTGCTGTTTAACTAAGGATTGAACAAACTACTCCGGACACAAAAGACCATAAATTTGATGGATTGTACAAAGTGATCAAGACAACCGGTAAAAGCCAGGTCATAATTATTGTAGAATTTTCATATGGAAGAAAAGCACCCGAGTCCAAAAAAGATGGCGATCAGTTAAAATTGTGTCGAAACGCAATGAGAACTCTAAACAAATTATTAAAAACTATACCAAAGGACCGTGCACGAGTATATTTAGTACAATCTTTCAGTAAGTATTGCAATCAGAAACAAAATATTACGAAGTTTGATTATTTATATATGTTTAATATTTTCTTATAGATGGGTTTATCGAAATTAAATATTTAGTTCGGCCAATTCCATCGATATATGTACTTCAACGCTTTATGCTTACCAAACTACCCGCCTCCTTTGGAGACTTTGAACAATTCGCTAACAATTTAAAAGATCTAATGAATTGGCAGGTAAAGGATTGAAAAATGGATATTTTTAGATACCTTGTTAAATATTGATAATAACTACTTTTTGTTATTACAGGCTGATGTCTTGTCAACAGTTAGGGCAGTAAATAAAGCAATTGCAGTGGATAATATAGGAGGAGGCAATAATCTCTGCTTAACTTCAGTAGACGATACACCATTAAAGAAAAAGAAGGCGGAAAAAAATCAAACATCATCTCCTAAATCTCCATGTCCCGGTGGATCGCCTTCAGAATTACCATCATTGATTTAGAAAATACTCTTTTTTCCTGCATTGTTAATATACTAGCGTTTTTATTGGTAACATTGAAAATAATAATGTAATATGCAGATTTCTTAGATCTTAGAAAGGGCAATAAAGATCTTCAAACTTTTTGATGGGATTGGAGGGGAAGATAAGATAAATTGGATTAAGTCTTTTTCTACGTCAACTATTTCGAGGTTGAGCGTGGAGAATATTGAGTATGTAATAGCTAAAGTTTTAAAAGTGAGCTAAAAAACAGATCTTAATAATCACTACTTCTTTACAGATTTATCGCGTGCCAGACGTGGGTTAAAAGCAGAGGATCCACTACCCGATGGGGTATAATTCGATACTTATTAGGGATGGATCAGTCCTTGAAAGACCGAATAAGGACTAGTCTTTTAACTAGTCTCGTGATTATTCGGTCCCTGGTCTTAAGACTGGTCTGAACCGGTCTTTAATTATTAAAATTGCTAATCGATCACAGGACATGTCCTATGATCTGCATTTAATTAGAAAAATTGAAAAAATTGTTGCACTTCGATTTTATTAAACGATAATACAATATTTATTTCTTGTCAATCTAATAGTTTTACGTATCTAATAAAAATTTTTCACTAGTTCTTGCTGCTTTAAGTTATAACTTTATTTTTTTTCTTGCTCGTTTATTTTCTATTTCACAAAGCACTCGAAAAGGATAAAGAAAATAGTATTTGTAGTAAGATCGTTTTACTATAAATAACTTTTTTTATTTGTACAAGAGAATAAGTTATGTAAAAAAACTTACTAAGTTTATATAGACTATTTTTTTTTTTTTTGTAGCTAAAACTTTGTTTATAATTTTTAAATATTGGACTTCTCAAAATTATTGTACTTTAGTATCTCGTCATATTTTATAATAACTAATTACGTTTACAACCCATTCTCAGATAACGAATTTTTCTGATAGCTAAATTACAACAATAATAAGCTTGGCTTAGTATTTAATATTGGATAGTAATTAAGGTAATAAAAACATTAATTAGTTAATATAACTTTCATGTTATTTAGATTTATTAAATCACATCCTTTTAATTGCTTCAAATTTTATAGATACGAATGATCTAGACGTATCTTCTGGCTTGATAATTGGTAAGAATATGGAATTGGGCTGAAAATGATAAAAATAACCTGTTTTTTTATTATCAAACAATCTACATATTTAATAGAATGCACTAATATTTAAAATGACATGCTAAAGTGTTTATAAATTACAGTCGAAGTATTTAAAATAAGCGAAGTTATAGCATTTTATTGGTGAGCAAAAAAGTCTTTTATTTATTAGTAAACTATATTTATTTATATTGTGATATCATTTAATTTATTTATTACTATTAATATTTAATTAGCAACTATCGTGATAGATCTTTTGTATTATAAACAGTTTTATCAAAGAATAGAGCATTTTTTAATAGAAAGGTATTTTACATAGTTTTTAGCAGATATGAAGCTTTGTTAAATTTCTATATATCTCATTTTACTAAGGTGAACCAACTAGTTTTTTTATATTTTTGGAATAACTGTTCTGAGAGGGTGAATATGCTTAGATATGAAAGAAAGTTTGTGGGTATATAGGTCGTGTAGAGTTTTGTGAGATAACTAATTGGGTCTTAAATTAGCAGTATAATTGGATAGTACAGCAGGTATTATATTTATGTTTCCATATAACATACTTGGTGAAATTTATATCATTAATTGATATATCAATTATCGTTATGAAGTTTTATTATCATTTAAATATTGAGTTGTAATTTAGTGATTTCTAAATTTGCAGTATTAAAAATTTCAATTACTGATTGTGAAATAATTTCTTGTAAAGTGATTTGTGATTCAATGAAGTTCTGAATCTGTTTGATTGCATTTGAAGTATTTGTTATTTGGTATGATATTTGGATAATATTTTTGTAATTGGAATAGTATAGATAATTCATTATGTAAAAGTTTAATATGAAAAGTTTTAAGTTTACTAAGTTTGAAGTTAGTAAATTTGTGTGATTGTTTGTTGTTGTTGTTGTTAAGGTATAGCCATATAGAGTTCCAGTCAACTTGGTCATATAGATGAGCCCATGTTTGGTTTTGGTTTTGTAACAACCATATTGCAACAATATGTGTATTGCATATTGTTTTGACAAGTTTGTGAGTAGATTGTTCTATATTAAAATTTTTCCATATAATATAGAAGTTAGAGTTGTATAGATTAGTATACTTGAATTTAAGAAGTGATAAAGTTTGGTGAGTTTATGCAAGTGTATTAGCTACTTTATTAAAGTTGTTATTGCTATGAGCTAATACTTTGTAGAATATAATTGTGAGTTTATAAGATTTGATAAGATTAAGTATTAAGTGCCAGATTGTATGAGTAGAGATGTGAAGGGTTTGTTGTTTTTTGAGTAAGTTTTTGGTATTTGTATATCACTAATTATGAGTCAGTATAGATATCAATTTTGCAATTCCGAGGAGCTGTGCTGATTGCTGATAATATTGCAAGAAGTTCTATTTTGTAAGATGAGGGCCAGTATTAAACTTGTGTAGCAAAGGAATTTGTGATCAGATTGTTTTCAACTTGTATTCAACTAATACTCATAGAGCAGTAGTTAGTCATTAAGTTTCAAACAGATTCATCTGTATAGAAAGTTAAATTTGTAAAGTTAGAGTTGGATATTGCAATATTGTTTAAGTTAAGAGATAAACTATTT